AGCCCTTCTGGGTAGCTAGCCCTCAGGAAGGGAGACCCAGAGCCACATCTTGAGCTTCAGACCAGAGGGCAGGCACCCCAGGAGGTGTCTTGTCTGAAAATGGCAACTGAGACCTGGGAGAGTTCTTGGCTTAATAAGCCATCAGCTGAGCAATGTTGAACTAAAATTACCAGATAGAGATCGGGAATTGGTGATTAATTCTGGTTTAATTGAGCCAACAGAGCTTATTTTTTAGCCCAATAATAATTTGAGCTATAACCTAAAGTGAGGGGAAAGCCAGGAAGCTGTGTGTAGGGTGGTTTTACACTGCTCCCTGCCTCTGCATCTCTTTACTGTGGTTGTCTACCCTGATTATAGTTCCAAATAAAGGACAGCAACTGGCTTCCCTGCCTGGTCCCACACTCACCTTTTCCTCAGAACGACTTCTCCTCCATGTACCTGGTTGCAGGGATGGCTCCCAGCAGCCAAGTTTATGCAGGCCCCACAGGCATGGGCGCCTGGTCCCACAGGCATGGGCACCTGACCCCACAGGCATGGGCACCTGGCCTGGTCTTGTCCAATGCATGTCCCCTCTCTCACAATCTGGACTTGGGATGAATCTCTTGAACTGAGAAAACCATAAACTTCAGAATTGTCAGTAGCCATATTTTTTGTGTGTGAACTGAGAACCAGAGACAATGAGACTGCGCTAAGAATAATAAAGTATATGGATAGAAAGAGTCAAAAATGCAAAATGTGGAGTAGGACATTCAGAATTTTCAGACCTTTGTTGCCCTATCTATGAGTTCCATCATCCTATCTGCATCTCCACCGTTGAAGTTTGTAATTAATGCCCCTTTGTTTTAGGTAACTCAACTGGCTTCTGTTACTATAATCAGAAGGCGCTAATGAGCATGGTTACTATATAGGAATCATTACATTTGTCATGTTCAAATGACTAAGAAACTACAAGGAAGGAGAAACACATGTGGAAAAACACAACTAGGGTGCAGGAGATCTGAGTTCAAATCTTCCTCCTAGAATCCCACAACCACATAGAATCATAGACTGTTTATGTTAATTCTTAAAGGTAACCCAGTTCCACTGCAAACTAGCTAGATGACCTTGGGAAGAGTTTTTAACCCCTGTGGGATTAACTATAAAATGGCCATAATGATTCCATTCACTCTATTGAGGCTTCTTTCAGCATGAAAATCTATGCTTATATAGCACTTGATATAAGCAAAAGGAGTTTCCCCTGGAATTATTCTTCAAGCCACATTCTGTGCATGAAAACGTTGAAAGAGCTAACCCTAAGAAGCATATACCAGTTGCTTATGTTAATGATAGGTAAAATTGAACATTTTCTAATTTAAATATAGTAAATGTCAATTTTCCCTAACTTTTCATAAGATGTTTTGACTTTGCTTAAATGCAGATAATCTTAGAACTGAACATATTCAACTTCCCCCTTCATCTGAACAAAATTTGGCAAATATTAATTGAGAGCCAACTAAATGCCTGACACCATGCTAGCTGCTGTGCCCTCAAAGAAGAAAATAGAAGGTCCCTGCTCTCTGAGACTTCAGTGAAGGTGGGGAAGCTAAGGAGGATACACACTTGTGCATCGTGGTCAGATCGGGGCTGCCATGGAGGTGTGGTGTGTGTAAGAACAAAGCAGGAGTCATGAGCACGCGGAGGGTGGTGTGGTCGGGGGAAGCAGGCAGGGGTGTGATGAAAGGCATCATGGATGAAGTAACAAGTTCAGTCAGGGTAACAAGGCAGGGGTAGGGTAGGCTGGGCAGGAATAGCAGGGCCTTTCTGGCAGTTTTGGCATATCCAAAACATGGGGCTGAGAACCAGCAGCTCATGCTCTGGAACCTGCAGTTCTGTGATGCAGTAAAAACCACTGCTTCCAAGGGTATCATGGATTAAGGGTGATTCCAGAAGGGATGAAGGAGCTAGAAATGAGTTTTACTGTGACTGGGGGAAGTCCAGTATTTTAAAATTTATCGGGAAAGATAACAAAGGAATCCAACATATATTGGAGTGATAGAATCCCAGAAAAGTAAATATAATGAATCACAGATAAAGTAGAGACATCTCCTCTGAGAGAGAGGGCTGATAAAAATAGTAAATAATCATAAGTAACATTTTTTGAGTGACTGCTAAATGCCAGAATCTTCAGACTTTACACACATTGACTCAGTTCTGCATACCACAACCCTGTGAGGCAGATTCTATTATTGTCTCAGAGAGGGCCTCTAGTAAGGCCTTCTCCTCCCACCTAATTCCCTTTTCTGCTCTTATCACCATCTAATACCCTCTGTATTTTACTTATTATTTTTTATTTGCCTCCCTCTTTCTAATAGAGTGGATACTCCCTGAAGGCAGGAATTTTGTTGTTTGCTTTGCTTACTGCTATATCCCCAGAACTTACAACACATAGTAGGAATCAATAGATGTTGGTGAATGAATGAATTATAGAAATAGAGGTACACGGTACACAGTGGTTAATAGCTTGCCCCAAATCAAACAACCAGACAGTGGTAGGGCCTGGGAGCAATGGTGTGAGAGGCTGGGAGATCTTGAGCTCACAGACAGGCATAATGAAATTGAAGGTGGGGAGGCTGGAGCATCAGCCTGGTTAACAAGAGGCTTAAACACTCATAGATTCACTTATTTTATTCACCCAACTCTTCAATACTATTTACTGAGCACCTATGATGCACCAGACATGCTCCAGGCACTGGGGAAACAATGGTGGACAAGGCAGAAGGTGTCTGCACTCTGTTGGGAGGGGAGACACCAACAGAAAAGGAAACAAGCAAATACACAGAGTAACTTCAGAGGCTGATAAATTCTGTGATGATAATACAGCAGCGTAACGTGATGGAGCGTAACTGGAGGTAGAGGAATATCTTCACTAGATAGGTCTTCGGAGAGGACTTCTTTGACGAAGTCACATATAAGCAGCATCCTGCAGCATGTATGTTTCTTTTTTCTGCGGAGAGGGTTTTATTCCAAGATTTTCAAAAAATCTTTTATTTTTTATTTTAAGATTCTCAAAAACCTTCTAAGAACTACTGATCTAGCCCTGCCCTTTGTCTTATAGATTAGGAAACAGTCCTGGAATGTAAGTGACTGGACTGAGTCCACACAGCTGGAATATAGCAGAGCCGGGGGTCTCACTCCAGGCTTTCTCTTTCCAAGCCCCTCACTCTTCTCCATTCCCTACTGACTTGGAGATGGGGGAAAGAAGACAGAAAGAGATTTAAGCGCTTGAGGGCAAAGCCGTCGTTTTAGTCCATTTTCACACTGCTACAAAGAACTGCCTGAGACTGGGTAATTTATAAAGGAAAGAAGTTTAATTGACTCACAGCTCTGCATGGTTGGGGAAGTCTCAGGAAACTTTCAATTATAGCGGAAGGTGAAGGAGAAGCAAGACACTTTCTTTACAAGGCAGCAGGAAAGAAAAGTGTCGAGAAAAGGGGGAAGAGCTCCTTATAAAACTGTCAGATCTCATGAGAACTCATTATCACAAGAACAGCGTGGGGGAAACTGCCCCCATGATTCAGTTCCCTCCCCCAGTCTCTCACTTGACATGTGGGGATTACGGGGATTCCAATTCAAGATGAGATTTGGGTAGGGACACAAAGCCTAACCGTATCAGTCATTTAAGAATCAGTTTTCCCCGTTTTGGCCCCAGGTGGGATAGATAAGCAGAGAGTGGGGTTGCAATGATTACGCTTCAACAAAGGATGCTGTCATTCACCCACAGGGCCCAGGCTCTGTCACCAGTGGAATTCTGTCTCCAAGCCGTCAGGCTGAACACAGGTTCCCTGTTGTTGGACACATGGTGGTGACCCAGTGGCGCTCTTGTGAGGATTTGCCTGCCTCTGCCTGAGCAGGTGGGTGGTTCCAGGCTTCCCGACTCCACTGATTTATTTCCTCAGGCCATCCTGGATCCTGGCTTCACCCCTGTTAGTGTGCTGAGGCCACACTTCTTGGGCCCTCCTCTGGTCCCATGCCATGTCATTAACCACAGCTGGTCTCCTCAAATTTGGTATGTGTCCCACGCTCTAGTTTCGGGCCAAATCCTTCAGACTCTAGATTCACGAACCTCATTCACCTTCTCTAAGCTAAAGCCTCCCTACCTTGGGCCTTTTCTATTTTCTGTACTCTCTATCCTGTCCTGGTGACCAGGCCCTCCAGTCTTGGCCCCACCCAACCACCCTGTCCACCTCCCACCGCCATCCATTGGCTGGTGCAATCTGCTGTTCAAGGCTTAAATTTATTCAGTGCCCAGCCCCTCCTTCTGCAAGGTAACCACATAGAAAGGTAGTCTAACACCCCTTATCTGCCCTGTGTGGGGAGCCTGTGGAAGCTGGTCTCAGGATCTGGCTGGGTAAACCATCCGTTTACCTCTGTGTGGGTTTTGACAGTCCTAGTCAGTTCTGTTTCTCTGAACCTTGTTTCTCCACTCTGCTTGCCAAGTCCCTTTCTCTTACTTTTTTCTCCCCCTCCCTCCTTCCCTCCCTCCCTCCCTCCTTCCTTCCTTCTTTCCTCCCTCCCTCCCTCCCTTTCTTCCTTCCTCCCTTCCTCCCTCCCTCCTTCCTTCCCTCCCTCCCTCCTTCTCTTCTTTCCTTCCTCCTTTCCTCTTTCCCTCTCATTCTCTTCCTCCCCCTCTCTTCTTCCTCTTTTTACTTTTGTCCCATGCTTTAAGCCTTCCTTGGCCCTTCCTGGCATTGCTTTTCCTGACAGCAACACTCAATAATTTTTAAAAAGCATCTGAGCCCTTTGTGCTGACTGATGCCACCTTTGTTGTGCAGATTTGTTTTAAGGGCAGATATCCAGGGAGGCTGAGCACTGAAATCCGTCCTGCAGAGCTTGCTGTAGCAGAGTAAAGAAGTTTGCTGGGTAGTTTCCCCGGTAGTTTCCCCAACAGCCTCCTCAAATCCATGGGTGATGTCTCAGACACCTTGTATTTAATAGGCAAGGAAATGAGCTCAGGATATTTGCCCCAGGTTGTAAATTAAATCAGCGCAAAGGTAGAAATGAACACAGAGCTCTCAGACTGGAAGCTGTCCAAACAGCTGCATGGAGCAGGGGCACAGCCCACTGTCTTTCAAAGCCTCAACCAGGGCTGTCGCATCTCAGACACTTGGCAGTTACTGGAAAGTCATGTTAGGCTTTCCTGTTGATTCTTTATCTTGTGGAGGAGTTGCACAGTCAATGCCTTGTTCAAGATTAATCATTTTCCCTGTTGCCTATAACTGAGGCTGTTTCTCACGTCCTGCCCCTGGTTTTGCCTGTCCCAAGGATTTCGTCTGAAGGGCGGGACATTACCCCTGCCTCTTCGCACCACAGCCAGAGCCTGCCATTAGGACCAATGAAAGCAAAGTACCTCATCCACTCAGTGACTAAGAATTGCAGTATTTAAGAGGTAGCAGGAATGGGCTGAGAGTGGTGTTTGGTTTCTCCACCAGAAGGGCACACTTTCATCTAATTTGGGGTATCACTGAGCTGAAGACAAAGAGAAAGGGGAGAAAACCTAGCAGACCACCATGTGCTACGGGAAGTGTGCACGATGCATCGGACATTCTCTGGTGGGGCTCGCCCTCCTGTGCATTATAGCTAATATTTTGCTTTACTTTCCCAATGGGGAAACAAAGTATGCCTCCGAAAACCACCTCAGCCGCTTCGTGTGGTTCTTTTCTGGCATCGTAGGAGGGGGCCTGCTGGTAAGTCATTCAGGATTATTACTGAATTCTCTCCTGTTTCCTAGATGTTTTCATTATGTATTTTCATGGAAAGTTTTTTGTAATGTATATTTCCAAATCAAGGGACTTTTTTGTTGTTCATTCCTTTGAAAGCAGATTATACAAAAGCGAGGTAAGTACAGTATAGCCTAGTAATTTTATTAGATGTTGCTTTACAAAACCCTCTTTCAACTAAAAGTGAACTGCCTTTTTGCTAAACTCTATGGGTAGGAAACAGATATTCGCTCTTAAATCAGATTTGAGAGACTGTAGAGTTTCTGCTAGAGCGGGTAGTCATTTAACATTTGCTCTGGGGAGCCGGGAGGGGTTGGCTGGTTCTCTGCCTAAATCAACACTTTTGAATCCAAATTCTCTGCTGTTTCTTTTCAGCCATCTGTGATAGGGAAAAATAATGCATTGTGTGTGCACTGCTATTTTAAAAGAACTCTAAGCTTTCTCCTTTATGTAAGGCTGGGGTGTGGCATCTTGGAAAAACCCTACAGTTAGCAGCAGGTCGGTGTCTGAAGCTAACAGTGGAATGTGTTGTTTTTTCCAAGATTTGTTTTTGATTGAAGTGAAAGGAAATTCCCTGCCAACCTGGGAGCTGAAAGCATTAGTTTCAACCACAGCATGGAAAGAATGTGAACAAACTTAAGTTTGCTACTTTAAAGTACTGGGATTAAAAATTTTAAAGAGAAATTTTATGGAATGGTACCATACATGATACATTTTCTTAATCAAGTAAAAGATACTAAAACCTTTAAACCTAATACACTGATTATGGCATGGCAAATCTGCCCTAAATTATCTATTTAATGAGGTGTTATTTAATTTTATTTTATTTAATGAGATGGGGTTTCACCATGTTGCCCAGGCTGGTCATGAACTCATGGGCCCAAGTGATCCTCCTACCTTGGCCTCCCAAAGTGCTGGGATTACAGGCATGAGCCACCGTGCCCGTCTGCCTCAGATTTAAGCATTATTATCTTGTTAACATGATTATTTGTCTTAAACATAACATCACACTTAAGTTTCTTTTGATCTTGAACCTGAAGTATTTCATGCTTACTTTATCTTAAGAGCTTAATAATGTTAAGTTAAAACTATGCATTTGTATAATAAAGGAAGCAGTTAATATTTATTATATATAGCTTTCATGTCTCCCATTTACAAAAAAGTTTCAGTTATTCTATTAAAGATTTGTTGGTATCTTCTGCATTTTACAAGGGGAAAAAATCAGATTTAAAAAAAGGGTTTACTATTTCCAAAACGGAATTTGTATCTGGGACTGTATGACAAACTCTTGTGGAATAAACACATTCATAGTTTATTATTTTACTCCTCCCACGTTACACCCTCACCCTAAAAAAATGCTTTGACAGATTACTTGAAAACAAGCAGATATGACATTTAGATGTTTTCTTTTTCTCCTCAGAGGCTTACATTCTTTGAGATACTTGGTCAACTTAATCAAAGCCAGTTAACATCATTAGAAATAAATATATTTTACCAAGAGATGCCTAACCCGACCCATATGAGCCTGGGCAAGTCAATGACTTGACTTTGTTTGTTTCCTAACCAGATGCTCCTGCCAGCATTTGTCTTCACTGGGCTGGAACAGGATGACTGCTGTGGCTGCTGTGGCCATGAAAACTGTGGCAAACGATGTGCGGTAGGTCCTCCTGCCTTGGTGGTGAAAATGGCTCCTGAGATGTAGCTGTGGCACTCTGTGGCTCACTTCCTGTGTTTCTCCTTTTCCCTAGATGCTTTCTTCTGTACTGGCTGCTCTCATTGGAATTGCAGGATCTGGCTACTGTGTCATTGTGGCAGCCCTCGGCTTGGCAGAAGGACCACTATGTCTTGATTCCTTCGGCCAGTGGAACTACACCTTTGCCAGCACCGAGGGCCAGTACGTAATTATTCTCTACATGGCTACACATTTTTATCCACCACATATATATAGTGGCAGCTCCATCAAACCAGATAGGCATCCACTTATCCATCCATCCACCCACCTAGCCACTGTTTATTCTCACTGACTCAGGCATGGTTTAGGCAACAGGTATCCAAGGATGGATGCCCAGTCCCTGACCTAAACAAGTTCTAAATGCTTCTTCTCTTTTCTTTCTTTCTTTCTTTTTTTTTTTCCCAGAGACAGGGTCTCGATCTGTCACCCAGGCCAGAATGCAGTGGCACAATCATAGCTTACTGCAGCCTCTAACTCCTGAGCTCAAGCAATATTCTTTCCTCAGCTTCCCAAATACAAAGTGCTTTTGAATAGAATCAGTAATTCCATCCTCATAATAACCCTATGAAGTGACTTCCTATTTTAAAGATGAGGAAACGAAATCCCAGAGAGATGAAGTAACTCATCCAAGGTCACGTTGCCAGAAAGTGGCGGTTAGCATTTGAACCCAGGCAGTCTAGATGTAGAGTTTGTGTTCACACAGTGCATCTCAATTACTTCATACATACCAGAACAATTGGCTGATTACGTGTAATACATTTTACTATTTTATAAGAAAGTATTATAGAATCCATATATAATAAGAATGGCAACTATATGAATTTAACCCAAACCCAGGGCAAATCATGCCCTTACCCCTATACACACATAGACTCATATAAAACATATGAACTATGTACAATGCTCCCTTTTTTAGTTACTAAGCTATATAAGTAAGGCCTATTCACAATTGTAATATCAGGATAATTGGTGCTGTTCCGCCATTCTATGTTGATACTAATTTTTTCTATCAGTTATCAAGAACAGAAACAGCACAGCTGATAGAAACGGATGTATGTGGTGATGAATGAATGACATGTTTCTTTGAGCAGGAGTTGATTCTGAGTTTACCTTTTCCCTACTCAACTTTCTGAAGTGAATTTTGAAAGGTTTAGTTTTGAGATTCATGATTAAAAATAATATTAATAACGAATTATATTATCAAGAGTGTTTGTCCCCATGAATTTAAAGGATGTAGTGAGGATATACGAATCTCATAAATTTAGCATAGTTATGAGATCATGAATTTGAATTACCTGGGTTCAATCCCAGCTCTGCACTTACCTACAGGAAAAGGTGAACTGAGCTCTCTGCATCTCAGTTACTCCACTGGTAAAATAAAATCAATTGTGATTGTCATGAGAATTAATGAAATAATATGTAAAATGTTCCCCACAGAGGCTGCCACATCGTGAGCAACTGCCACTGTTAACTGTTAGTATTATCTACTACCTTACAATAAACATAATCCAGTGGTAGCCTTTGAAGGAAAATTGATACAGAAGTTTGAAATTTTGGTGTTCAAAACCGTGATCAATCATGACTCAGCTTTTATCAGAATATACTGGATGTACTAGTAGAAAATGGCTATTCACATACGTACAAACATACAAAACTATTGCACAAACATACTTCTAAGAAAAGTCATGACTGATGCAGCCATAAAGCAGGAAGCGGTGGTAGTATTGCTAAATGGTTTTTATAGCTATTTGACTGTTTGCCCCTCCCATTATCCACCGTGGATTCTACAAGAAATCTTCCTTCTGTTCTACGTCATTCTTCATTTAAAACTGTCCAAGGATTTCAATATGGGAAATAACTAACAGTCACAAGCCACAGGTTAGTTGCCCGGGAGCCAGGTAGAGCCAAAGAATTTTTTTTACATTGCGACCTGAAAGTACAGATTTTTGTTCTGCTGACATGCAGCAAGTCAGAGCCACAAAGACAGAACTTTTTTTGAAATGAACAACTATAATCTCTGATTGGCTCAATGAACTATTCTAAAGTTAGGTCTCAAATTCCAAGCCCCTTTGTTCTGTTGTGGCAGGAAGTCGTGATAAGAAAAGAATTATACCAGGCCTCTTTGTGGAATCAAGTCAAACCTTGATTTTCCCACATGATTGTATTATATTTCGTTAAGAATCCAAATACTCTGTGGCAAAGGCTGAAATTCTAGGAGAGCTATCAGAAGTAGAATTCATACTGCAAGAATATCCAGGTATTTATAAAATTGACTAAATCCTATAATCTATAGTCAGGTATCACCTCGGTATAGTTTGCTGATATTTCACCAAGTAACTTCATGTTGTTATTTATCATTCAACTGCTTTTAAAATGTGTTGAGGGGCTATTGTGTGTCAGATACTATACTAGCGGCTGGATATACAATGATGAATAGGTCTGGCTCCTACCTTCATGGAGCTCAGCCTTATTGAATAGATGTATAATCAGGTGTTCTCCCTGGACTAGGTTAGGTGCCCTTCCTCTGTGGCTCTTCCATACTTTGTTTACTGATCAGCATATCTGTTGCATTGAGATTACTTCTGACTTGTCTCTTCCTTTAGAAGCCATGCTCTTTCAGGACAGAACCCGTGCCCTGTACTCCATTATATCCCCAGCTCTGGCTCAGTGTCAGACTCACACTGTGTGTTCAATAATCTTTGTTGAATGAGCGAATGCAGTGTGCTACCTGCTATTATGGACCCTTGGGCACAGCATCATGAAAGTGAAGAGGCATCAGCCAGGCGTGGTGGTTCACGCCTATAATCCCAGCACTTTGGGAGGCTGAGGCAGGAGAATGGCTTGAACCTGGGGGGTAGAGCTTGCAATGAGCCAAGATCGCGCGATTGCACTCCAGCCTGGGCAACAGAGTGAGACTCTGTCTCAAAAAAAAGTAAAGAGCTATCAAATTAGTTAGGTTTAATCCCCCTGTGCTTCATGTTGCAAATTAATTTATTCCTTAAAAGCAAAAAATAGCTTTGTTCCAAAGGTCTCAATTGAAAAATTCTAGCATATTAAATCTCCAAACTTGCCAGAATTTGGATAATTTTCAAAAGTAACAAATTGAGATGTAATAAAATGATCTAAATTAATATTTTAAAGTTAAAAAAAAACTAGCCTAAAGAGATTGTATTTTCTAAGTATTCACTCAATATTGAATACAAATACCCGTCTTTATACCAATAACAACAATAAAATTAGAAAACAGTTTTAAAAAACACCCATAATTACGTTAGCACATGAATTATTTTCATTTTTCCACATTTGCTCATAGGTTACTTCCATATACATACATGAATTTTACCTAGCTTTAAACACAGCATAAATACAGTTCTGCGTTTTTATTTTTGTTTATTAGAATTCAGATGTCTGTTAGGGAATATAAACATCATTATAAGGTGAGAATTTCTGACCATGTAATCCTAGATTAGAGGTCAAAAATTATAAATTGGCCGGGCGCGGTGGCTCACGCCTGTAATCCCAGCACTTTGGGAGGCCGAGGCGGGTGGATCACAAGGTCAGGGAATCGAGACCATCCTGGCTAACACGGTGAAATCCCGTCTCTACTAAAAATACAAAAAATTAGCCGGGCGTGGTGGCGGCGCCTGTAGTCCCAGCTACTCGGGAGGCTGAGGCAGGAGAATGGCGTGAACCCGGGGGGCGGAGCTTGCAGTGAGCCGAGGTCGCGCCACTGCACTCCAGTCTGGGCTACAGAGCAAGACTCCGTCTCAAAAAAAAAAAAAAAAAATTATAAATGTTTATCATTATAGTAGGATCTGGGCTAAATTCCTCCATTTTATGGAATGACATGCATTGGAGAAACTTACACAGGATATGGAAAAATTCATTCTTTTTTTTCTGAATGAAAAACCACCAAACAAAAGTAGTTTACGAAGTATCCCCTAAGTATGGCCATGTGTCAGAAGTTTCTCTTTTTACCCACAGGTACCTTCTGGATACCTCCACATGGTCCCAGTGCACTGAACCCAAGCACATTGTGGAATGGAATGTATCTCTGTTTTCTATCCTCTTGGCTCTTGGTGGAATTGAATTCATCTTGTGTCTTATTCAAGTAATAAATGGAGTGCTTGGAGGCATATGTGGCTTTTGCTGCTCTCGCCAACAGGTAAGAACCTGCATAATAATGTCGTCGTCTGGCCCTGGTGTTAATATACCATTGTTTTCATCATAAAGAAAAAGGCAAAGCCAAACATGCTCGACCTACCAGCATTTATTCTGGTATCATCTTTGTAGCAACACAATTATAGCATTCACTTCAGCTGTCAGGAACAAGCTTCCTCCAGTCTCACAGTCACAGGATTGTCTTAGTTCTTTGCAGTTGGTTCTATGCACACAGGAACACGCTGCCCATAGACACAGCGCTCCCTTCAGGATCTAATTCACTGCCTCTGCTCTGGTTGCAGAGACAGAAAAAAAGCGATGTCTACTCTTTGTTTGCTGTCATATTCCCAACTAGTATACATAAGTAATAGCCAACCATTCCACGCATCAGGCACTATACTAAACCCATTTTTCAGATAAGACTATGACTCAAATATTAAGCAATAGGCTTAAGATCACCTACTCAGGAAATGACAGGCTTCAAACCTTGAGTCATTTTATGCAAAAGCTCCTACATTTAACCTTTATTCCACACTTGCTGTTCTCCTGGATTTTCTGCAATTCCTTCCTAATAAGGAGTCATAAAAATGCCTAAGCAGTAAGTATGGAGAATCACTAGCAGCCTTGGAACAGCAGCTCATGAAAACCCTTTCGTTGTGAAAGAAAACCAGGAAGCACTTGTTTCCTGATATGATTTAGGAGAAAAAAAATGCATTTGTTTGTAGCAGCGAAAGTTCTTGTTTCTATATCCTCCTAAAATATATATATTATTGAATTGATGTCAGTCCAGCTTTGATCCTATCTTTGAGAGGGTTATTTTATGTCTTATATTTTTCAAACCAATTACTCCTCTGGTGCCAGATCTGTTAATTTTCTTTTAAAAATAAGACAAAAACCGAATGAAAATTAAAAGTCCATTGCCACCATGAAGAACTTTGCTGAAAATAAAAGGAAACTTTCTGTAATTTTTTGGGAAAGTTAAAATGAAATCTAGTCTTCCTTATCAGGCACATATAGCAAGATTAATAATTTCTTTGGCAAATTTCCAAGAAAATAAGGGAGTGGGAAACCTTCAATATGGAGCTTTTTTCAAGCAATATGGTTGGGGAACGGCAGAGAAGTATCGTCTGGGGATTGCTGTAATGCAGCTTACCTTTAGCCTTGAATTTCATACAAGGCAGAGTTCAAACTAAGTGATTACTTGTACTAAATGCACTCACTTAGTAAATTTTGGGGACAAGCATAAAGAGCCGATGACCAAAATGGCTGAAGTGATTTGGCAGGGAGTGATACTCTCCTCTGATCTGGGGTAGTAAATACACTGGGTTTCCCAGCTGAGTTGCTGTAGGGATGGCTTCTTCCCAGATACTACAGGGAAGATCTGTTACCTTTGTTTATAGGACAAAAGACACTTTCAAAGGGCAGAGCTTTTCATGTAGAAGAGTCAGGTCTATAACTCGGTAGCATTTAACTTGAAAGGTTACCCACATTGAGCTCATATCGGTGTGAAACTTCCATGGCATTATCTTTTAAATCCCTAAGATTAAAACCCTACACAAATGGACTCAAAGCAATGCAGCATCAGTATCCTGCAGTTTCCATGGGCCCTTTCTGTGGCTTTTACTCATGGAGGACGAGGGATCCGGTTTTGTTTAGGAAACATTTTGTGAGCATTGTCTAAGCCCTAAGTATGGTTGGCCTAAGTTTTGCTGAAGCTGAGGTCAGTCTGTTTATGTTTGCTTAAAATAGGAATTTAAAGGACTAAAATGTCATCATTATTTATCCTCATTATAACCTAATGGTATTTTATTTTCTTTACAGCAATATGACTGCTAAAAGAACCACCCCAGGACAGAGTCACAATCTTCCTCTATTTCATTGTAATTTATATATTTTACTTGTATTCATTTGTAAAACATTGTACTGGTGTAACATACTCCTCATATTCTACTTTTACAAAGGCCTGTAAAGACTGGCATCTTCACAGGATGTCAGTGTTTACATTTAGTAAACCTATGTGTTTTTTTAAGGAATGAGGAAACAAACCACCCTCTGGGGGTAATTTACAGACTGAGTGAGAGTCCTCAGTATATCTGAGATAAACTCTATAATGTTTTGGATAAAAATAACATTCCAATCACTATTGTATATATGTGCATGTATTTTTTAAATTAAAGATGTCTAGTTGCTTTTTATGAGACCAAGAGGGAGAAAATCCGACAACCTGGAAAGATCTTTGTTTTCACTGCTTGTATGATGTTTCCCATTCATACACCTATAAATCTCTAACAAGAGGCCCTTTGAATTGCCTTGTGTTCTGTGAGAAACAAATATTTACTTAGAGCGGAAGGACTGATTGAGAATGTTCCAATCCAAATGAATGCATCAAAACTTACAATGCTGCTAGTTGTTGTGAGTACTATGAGATTCAAATTTTTCCAACATATGGAAAGCCTTTTGTCCTCCAAGGACGAGCACTAGGGATCACGTGTTTAAAAAAAGAAAGGCTGAGATGACTGGGCCAGAAGAAAGATGGGAAACTGAATAAAGCAGTTGATCAGCGTCATAGAAACGGGGGAGGAGTGAGGGCAGGAGGACTACGAGGAAATACCTTCAAAACTAACTTGTTTACAACAAAATAAAGTATTCACTACCATTTTGTTGTTTAGTTTCATTGTCCTTAAAGTTCTCTTTTGTTCTTCCCCCTTTTTTGTTCCCAGTTTGCAGGTTATGTGGCCCCTGTTGCTAACGGCTTCCTGTCTTTTGGTTTCTTTATCCTACTCTCTCTCCCTCATCCTCTTTCTCCTCTTCTTTCTCCTGTCTGTAAATTGCCATTGCTGTACCTGTGGGATCATCACCTCAGTTAGGCACTTGTCCTTTCTACCAGGTGCTGCAGGTATCAGCCTCCCTGGAAGGGTAACAGGCATTTTTCTCCTTACTTACAGGGTTAGGCTCTTTCAAGTGACAGGATTCCCGGATTTATTGGGAATTTTCTATAGAAATGTTCTGTTTTTGATGTTCATTGGTCTGGACAACAGACAAGCAAAATTTACAAAGAAGCATAATCAGTTGTTAGAAAGCAGAGCTCCTCCTGTGGGCAAGCTGCCCTGCAGTGGGCGGCCCCTGATTGAAGATTTCAGCCTATTGTGTACCACAGTCCCTCTGGCAGGCTGGTGAAGCCTACAGACATCTTCGAAGAATAATGTTCATAAATACATAAAATGCATAGAATTATGAAGAAAACCAATACACTAGGATATTTTATGAAAAATTTTTAAAAATGTATAGTGTAGTTGTCTTGACAGCCAGCTCTGTCACTTCAACACCTGGGGACAGACAGCGATAACGTGTGTTCTAACAGCCTTCTAAAGAGTGGGTCTAAGAACTATCGTACTTTTTTTTTTTTTCTGAGCAGATTTAGCCAATATGCTAAGCACTTTTATTATTTATTTATTTTTATTTTATTTTCTTTAAGATCTGGGATACATGTGCAGAACGTGCAGGTTTGTTACGTAGGTATACATGTGCCATGGTGGTTTGCTCCACCCATCAACCCATCATCAACCACATGCATTAAGTATTTGCCCTCTCTCCCCTTGTCCCCCAACCTCCCTGAGTATCGTACTTTTGAAATACAATTTCAATTAAAATGATATTTCGAGATACCTGCAGCAAATTTAATGTGATATAAAAACATATGCAAATTTTTTATTGTAGATCAAAGTATGATCAGTATTACTGATGCTACTTTGGTTTGTTGCATAGTCATAATTAAAGGAAATATTAAATTTTTGTTATAAGTTAGTAAAAAATGACACTTCTTTCCCATCTAACACCCCACTCCCCCAGATATTTATCCATGGGGTCTTTTGGGAGTTCTTGGACACCAGATTAAAAGCTCCTGCAACACAGGATCCAAGAACAAAGGCATGACAATCAGTCATAAGCATCATTTTTTCCTAAATCTATCCTCAAAGGAAATGGCAATAATAATTATCAACCATTATCATATTAACAGCAACCATTTCTTGAGTCCCTTCAGTATGTCACATATTGTAATGAGTTTTACACATAATATTCCACTGAAATCTCTCAACAGCCCTAGAAGGTATTATTTGTCTCTATTTTGTAGACTCAAAGCTCAGTGAGGTTAAGTAATCTGTCCAAGGCCACATCTTTAGCAAATGAAAAAACTGTAGCAAAAAAACCCAAAAAACCAAAAAACCGAAAAAACCGATTTGAGTCTAAGTAGGTGTAACATGAACTCTGTGTTTTCCCTGCTCCTCTCCTCTGCCTCATCTACCTTCTCTGCCACCAGGGCCCAGGGGCTAGAGTCTTCCTCTTATCCTACACTGGCACTCAGATACTCTACCCTCCTAATGGGGACTTTGGCCCCTGAGAGCCTCAGTCATCCCTATCCTAGAGCCCAAGTTTGAGTGACTCAACATTTCCCCTTGTTTGTGAATCCTTTAATAGTAGACATTGTCATCAAGTTACCTTATACCCTCGTTAAGTTCTGTTTATAGCCTACGCTCCTGGTTTGTAATATTCTAGGCCTTTCAATTTGGCTGGAAACTCCCTCAGGGGCTGCACCAAAACAGTTCATTCTTACCTGGCAACATTAAAACAATAAAAATTACTGTAGAATCTGAATCACTTGAGTAGTACACATGGCCTCTGAGTGTCAATTTACCATAGTTACCAAATTTATAAATATATTCCTACATAAAGGAAATCTCATGTATTGAAATCTCAGACAATTGATAGAATGTTACCTTCACCACAGTTTGAGTTTCTTGTGTGTGTGTGAGTTCTTTTTTATTGTTTTCTCTGACACTTACCCATGGTGAGAACAGGTATGGGATTTGATGCAACTTTTCAGAAAAGCCATTTGGTGATACGTGTCCACAATATATAAAGCCAGCACATCCTTTAGCCAAGTATTTTTACTTGTAGAAATTTATTTTAAGAGAATCATCAAGGATGTTCACAGTAGTTTAGCTTCCAGGAATAATCATGGAGTATTATTTGTAACACCAGGAAAAAAATGACAAGAGCCTAAATCTCTGATAACAAGGAATTGGTTTGATAAATGTAGTCGGTGACTGTTAAATCAGGCAAATGTATGAACTGCACAACATTACATGAAAGAGAAAGTTTCAAAAATATAGAAAAGAAGGGTTCTATATCTCTCTCTACTAGGTATATGTATATTATAAATACCATTTAAATATATTACTGAAAAGGAATTTCAATCAGATTCGATGTGATTTTTGTCTTGATTCATTTCGCTTATCTATACTTTCTGAAATTTCTACCATAAGCACATATTACTTTTAGAAATAAAACAAAAATGAGATGAGAAAAAAGATGCAGTCCTAAAATAATTCAGGGAACAGTGCACAGTCTTTAAGGGAAACTCCCCAGGTATGTGAGAAAACCATTGTTCTTGTGCTTGGACAGAGGAGTCATCCTGCCGTAAATGCGGGGGAATAATTATGCCTGCAATTAGGTGAAGGGATGGGCCAGGTGAGGCTGGCAGTAACCACAGGCTAAAAATATAATGGGGAGCCCATAATTTCTGTTGTGTGTTTGGGAAATGTTAAGTGCACAGTTTCTACCCAGTCTAGCCACTAAGTAAGATTTTTACAAATATCAACCATGTATCTGTTTTCTGTATTTTAAAAATGAAAGTAATGACATACCTTTACTTTGAGCATTTTTATCAGGGCTTTGTGTACCACAGCTTGGATTTTCCTTATTTTAATTTTCTCGGCTCTCTGCAACCTCCGCCCCCTGGGTTCAAGCGATTCTCCTATCTCAGTCTCCAGAGTAGCTGGCATTACAGGCGCATGCCACCATGCCCAGCTAATTTTTGTATTTTTACTAGAGACAGGGTTTAATCATGTTGGCCAGGTTAGGGGTCTCGAACTCCTGACATCATGATCCTCCCGCCTTGGCCTCCCAAAGTGCCGGGATTACAGGCATGAGCCACCCTCCCTGGCCGTCCTTCTCTTAACATTAAATATTTTGTGTATGCAAGTCCTGGCCAATTTAGACACATACTTTAATTATCGTAGTTAAAGAAGTCTATTATGTTTTTCTGGAGCTAGATTTCATGTTACTTCCTAGAATCAATTACTTGCTCTCATCTCTCTCTCTCTCTCTCTTTCTCTCTCTCTCTCTCTCTCTCTCTCTCTCACACACACACACACACACACACACACACACACTTTCCTAATATACAGCAATTAAAAAGAGCAAACTATTTCTGCATGAGACAACGTGGATGATTCTCGTAAATAATGAGAATCAAGGCCAGGCGCTGTGGCTCAGGCCTGTAATCCAAGCACTTTGGGAGGCCGAGGCGGGTGGATCACCTGAGGTCAGGAGTTTGAGACCAGCCTGGCCAACACGGCAAAATCCCATCTCTACTAAAAATACAAAAATTAGCCAGGCGTGGTGGTGCATGCCTATAATCTCAGCTACTGGGAAGGCTGAGACAGGAGAATCGCTTGTACCCAGGAGGCCGAGGTTGCAGTGAGCTAAGATGGCACCACTGCACTCCAGCCTGGGTAACAGAGTCAGAATCCATCTTAAATAAATAAATAGAATCAAAACAGTCTCTCCTCCCTCCCTGCCCCCCAGTTTTGAGGACACAATAATTCTGCATGTAATCTCAGCTAATGTAGCTAACTCCTTGAGACAGGGACAGTAGATATCTCATGAACATGTCACACACAGATTTTCGTATAGGAGCAATAATACAGTTCCCCAAGAGGTGCCATTTCGAGTACCTGTGTTCAGTAGTTGCAGCCTGCAACTAGAAAGCTCTGTGTCAAGCATTCCACCAGCGACTAATTCTCACCACACTCCTCTTTGTTACATGTGTACAGATATCCTTGATTCGTGTGCAAGACTAAGGGACAATTGAAATGGCCACTCTTGTCTCAGATGATAGATGATATCCATATAATAAACTGTCATATATTCAATACATGAAACAGCATGAATGAATCTCACAAATATTAAGAACCCAAATCATCTACTCCCTCCTCCCCCAAGACTCACACAACTTGGGCATGGAGAACTGAAACCATAAACTGCTCCACAGCTTACTGTTGATATCCCCATGGTTTTATTATTCCATACTCTTGTTGAGCACAGTTTTACTATTCCAGGAGACTCTTTCCTAAGCAAATAACTTTATTATTTATTATTGGAACTCTCTGAAAGATCCACCATCTCCTCAATAGAAAACACCAGCAGTTTATATCTCAAAAGCCTTTGAACCCCCTACCTCAAAGTCCTTGCCTTGCTGTTTCCACCAGTCTTAAGAAATTGTATCACAATCTTTACTGAAGGGTTCTTGTTTTTGGTTTATTTTCTTTTCTTTTTTTTTTTTTTTAACACCATGACCAAATGGTATTTATTTCAGGTATGAAAGTCTGGTTCAACATTTGAAAATTGATTAATGTAATCCATCACACCAACAGGCTATAGAGGAAAAATCACATGATTATATCACTAGTTGTAGAAAAAGTATTTGAAGACATTTAACACTCATTAATGATAAAAACATCCAGCAAGCTGGAAATAGAGGAGAACTTCCTCAACTTGATGAAGAACATCTACAAAAAGCAGCTAACATAATAC